TGTTCTCATGGAGCTCAGTAGTGCATATATTTTCAAGAGAAGTTAATTACTACAGTCTAGCAAGATTTCTATCGTAAATATTACGTCCCTCAGTCTTTACATTTTTACCATTCAGTATAATCAGTCTTTTCATTTTTCTTTTTTTTTGTAAATAAAGCAGCTACGACCATTCGACTGGTTAGGACGCTCGGCTCGCAATTTTTGGGGCGCTGGTTACAATCTCATGATTAAACATGCTCGCCCTTTCAGCCATAAGAGCATTATAATCTAACGGTTAATGCTATTAATGCCCTCTCCTCCTTCCCAGTGGCTCAGTGGTAAATTGATGGGTTTATAGTGCTAAAATTGAGTTTTGATACCCGCGGTGGGCAGAACACTTAAATCCATCTGTGTAGCTTTGCACTTAACAACAAATAAATAACAAACAAATAAACAAACCATCCTCTATTCCTTTTGGTCTCATTTTCAATTATTTGACACTTTCCGATACATTACCTGTCCAGCCTTCTCTTTGCGATCTTGGTAATAGTTTATTGATTCAATTTTTAGCTAGCCTACAAAAAGTGTCCACAATGAGATGTTAAATCAGTCAACAAAATTATGCACTCATTCAAATCGAACTCTTGAGGATCACAACTTTCTGGATGAGACATATAATGAGGACAAAGACGTACAATTTTTTTTCCAAATTCACCTTCTCATTCCCTTGGATTCATAATTTTTTAACTGATACGTCCATGTTTGTAAACCACATTTGCTTGATGATGTCAGTGTACGCGTTAAGAATACGCTACAACATGTATGACAGGAATCGTAATTTCGTTACTTGTTTGTCTGGCATGGCCTGGTGGTTAGGGAAGTCGACTCACAATCTGAGGGTTATTGATTCGAATCCTAGTCGCCGAACATGCGTGCCCTTTCAGCAGTGGGGACGTTATAATGTGACGGTCAATTCCACTTTTCATTGGTAAAAGAGTAGCCCAAGAATTGGTGGTGGGTGATGTTGACTAGCTGCTTTCCTTCTAGTCTATCGCTGCTAAATTAGAGACGGTTAGCGCAGATAGCCCTCGTGTAGCTTTGCGCGAAATTCGAAAACAATCGTTATTTGCTCTGCTGTGAATGACATGGGGGCCAGAATGATAGCCATTGGGCATTCTTACTCGTTCTAACGGCATTTTAAAATCAATTCTTATTTGTAAGCGTTTTTATATATAAAAAAAAAAGTTTCTTTGTCTATTTTAGCGCAAAACCACATCTGGCTATCTGCTGCGTCCGCCGCGAGGAATCGAACCCCGGATTTAAGCGTAAACTTATCGCTGACTCACCAAAACGGAGGACGAAGGAAAAAGATTTATTTACTAGAAATAACACTATTTGTTTGGCAAAAAAAACAAAAAACGAATTGATCGCCAACCAAACCATCATTAACACAAACTAAGTTTCTCAAATTACCTCAACAGTTGAACCTTAATGGATGTGAAGCTTTGTTTACTTATTTCTTTATTTTTTCTAGTGGTAAACTTGAAGGGTTATAACGCTAAGATTCGGGGCTCGATCCTTGTGGTGGACACGGTGTATATAGCCCATTGTGCAACTTTGCACATTAATTAAAACAAAACAAACACAAATGTCATTAATCCAAGTCTCTTAAAAGTTTAATGCATTACTCATTAGTCAACTTTAAATTAGTATTATTCACTTAGGCACAACTAACCACACCGTTCAACGTGTAATCAACTCCAACAATATGGTTAGTCAACATCGTATTCCAATAAATACACGGATCACACTTCACGTGGCTAGTGAATACTGGGATCCATTTCATCATCCATAGAGCGTAATCCAAAAGTTACCGTTCCATAACCGTTAGTGCCAATAAGAGGCTTGTGAAGCAATCAAAGAACAGAATTACTGATAAGTGGTTTACAAAACCGGCCAGTGCATTTTCCACTTCATATGTTTACCTTACTCTCAAGAATAGCACATCAAATCAAGGTACACCAACAACGATGCTATGGGCACTCTCTGTTTAGTGGATATTATTACTACTAGGCTTTGAAAGAGTAGAGTGAACAGATGGTAGACAATAGTGTAGTCAGGTTGAGTCAAACACAGTCAGCGGTGGATCGTGCAAAGTCAGGGGGTAAAAAAAGGTAATCGTAAGCTTGATTTTTATTTTCATAATCATTTATTTTTCTCTAAGTTTTCATGGTTGAAATTGGTTAAACTTAGACGCCAGATATGGCAGAATGAATGTACAATACGATCAGTAATCAATCAGATAACAAATGCATTCACGTCTTCCCTTTGAGTCATCTGTCTGAATATTAATTAACACTGACAATGAGTTTCTCAGCTTCACAATAAACCTGAATCACTGTAGGTAATCACTATTCTCAACACATAACTCCAAATAAAATGCATCGAGATATATACGTTTCAGCGGAAGTGGAATATGGAATGGAATACAATATGGTATGCTACTGGTCAATATTTTACCTGAGTTGTGTATCTGGCTTTAAACTGCTCATGTGGCTTGTTCGTCTGTTATATATATATATATATATTGTTATCAATCTAGCACACGTCTGTTTCACTTTCTCAGTTTCAATATATATGGTTGAAAAACTTAGCACGCGACTACTTCATTTATCTGTGTTTAAATTTGGTTTGTGGTTTTCCTTTGTTAAAGTGTGTATATATTTGTATTCTAACCTGTCACATAGGTATATATTTTTTTCTTTACCTAGCTGTGTTTCAGTCTGTCTCGTGACTTTTCCTTTCTTACTGTGTTTATGTATCATTACTATAACATAAAATAAGAGGTATATATTTCTGTATTTACCTAGCTGTGTTTCAGTCTGTCTCGTGACTTTTCCTTTCTTACTGTGTTTATGTATCATTACTATAACCTATTAAGTAAGAGGTATATTTTTCTGTATTTACCTAGCTGTGTTTCAGTCTGTCTCGTGACTTTTCCTTTCTTACTGTGTTCATTTATCAGTATTATAACCTATCATATAAGAGGTATATTCTTCTCTGTTTACCTAGCTGTGTTTCAGTCTGTCTCGTGACTTTTCCTTTCTTGCTGTGTTTATATATTGGTATTTTAACCTATCAAATTAGAGGTATATTTTTCTTTACCTAGTACATGGTATATGGTACATTAGGCATACTAGTCTAGAAAAACAAAAAAAAAGAAGTTATAAACCACATAAAAGCATATTTGAATATGATGAGTTGTAGCTTCAGGATAATTGAAATATAGAACTTAAAAAACAAGACAATAAATATGTAATTTTCTGGTCAAAACCCATTATGGGCATACTGAGGATACAATGCTCCAAAATATCACCAAGTAATGTATTGTTGTCTGTCTGGTTTAGAATCTAACTTTGGCTGCATTAAGCTTGTTGACTGGTTTGTTTGAGGGTGTGGTATTTGAAAAAATATACCATGTTTCAAGATTTCCATGCATTCAAACGCGTGTGTAGAGTTTTGTGTATAGAGAAATTATATTTGGGCTGTAGCAACCTTATTTCGGTTGATAATCACACGTGTCTCACTTGAATATTTTCATATTTTCTCACATACGCTGTCGTTAGACAACTAATTTGATCTTTAACCTTTAGTGAAATAGCTGTGTTTAAGAATACTTTTCCCTTTTCTCTTGTGGGATGACTACCTTAAAGTATTTATATTCAATTATTTCTTTAACATCCAGTTTGCAGGCAGATGAGATTCTATTAGGAAGATGGAACAGAGGTATTATGGTTTTCAATATTTGTGTTGGAACCAAACAAATGTACTGTGATATAGCACTCGATCTGTTAACCTCAATAAACCAATAGGGAGCAATCAGTTTGTGTAGATAATCGACTCCACTGGCCGAGACGAACTTTGGATACACCTTAGTTATAATGTATATCGAATTAGCTATTACTGAGCCAATGGTCATTGCTGATCTGTATGATATCTTGCTTTGATCAGAAGTTAGTGGCAATGATGTTGGTAGCGCATTTGCTTGAAAGAGATCACAGTTTTGTGTTATCTATGTAATAGCCAACTTTATCAGTCACATTCAGCACCTACAGTTTCCTTCTGATACTGAGTTCTTTCCAGAACCTATAGAGCAGTGCTTTCGTGTTTGTTTTTTCTAAATTTCGTCATTATTGATTTGTTATGTTGTCAAATAAAATAAAGGTTTGTTTTTCATTTTGTTTAGCATTATGCCCAAGTTGTTACTGAATATAGTAATTGTTAGGACATCCCTTTCTTCAACAAATATGTAAAAACTAGAATACGTACCCGAAGTTTCGCCTTTAAAAAATGATGCTATAAATTAGAGTATGGGCCGCTCTCTTCTACTATTTGAGCCGTAGTACAGGAACCTTTCGTTGGATGTAAAGGTAAGCACGGGCTACGCTCAGCTTTAAGGACCATTCTCAGTTGATGCTGGCTTCACATATTTTGCTACATACCTCCTTGTTCAGTTGATCCCTCATTCGAGTCATTAACACAATAAAATTGAGACGACTGCTAATCTTGAACCGTTTTAACTCGACCTTTGGGATCCACCTGACTTTCTCTGCCAAATTTAATCGAAATTGGTTCCTTTCAACAACTTGTAACACCGAGCAGATAGACAACTCTGCTTTATATGGATTCACCAAGTACTTTAAAACGCAGATGAAGTAATATCGAACGTTTAGACGGTCATTTTGATTTTGTGCTAGAAAAATAATGTCTCCATGTTTAGTTTATATATATATATATAAAAAGCTGACAGCTACCATATTTCAAACTTTTGTATAACTTTCTTTAAGATTCAGCTCCGAAAACCTTATAGTAAGAAACCTTATTTTAAAATTCACACAAGTGTGAATTTTGTGTGGGTTCTAAAAACATAGTTTTTCTGACATCTAACTTATTTTGAAATATTTAAAACTAATATATTACAAGTTAAAGCTCAAATCTTTTTTTGTCGTCTCTGGAAAAAGACAGCTGCGACGACGACATGGACGACATGACTAGTACTGAAACACCAGTAGTCGAGTGTAATGATGTGCCACAACCAAATCAAATACTGGTCTCAGCCCAACATATTGGCTATGGCGTGGTCGTACCTGTAATATGTTTCTTTGGACTGTGTACTAACTGTGTAAACCTCGTGGTTCTCACCAGGCCAGAGATGAAGGAGACGATTTTCACTTACCTTACAAGTATGTCAGCTTCGGATTTAGAGTTTATTCTGATGTATTACTGTAATATTAATCATTAAGCCATATTGGGAAACAAATATGCTGGCTTTGGATTTAGAGTTTATTTTGGTGTATTACTGTTATATTAATCATTAAGCCATATTGGGAAACAAGTATGTTGGCTTGGGATTTATAGTTTATTCTGATGTATTATTGTAATATTAATCATGAAACCATACTGGAAAATAAAAGAATGATTTACGTTCTGGTGACATTTTCCGGAAACACGAGTTTACTGTAGAACGAATTAAATTAATATAATTTATTTATAAACTGAAACGTCATACTTTTAACTAAACTGGCAAACAACGATTTATAAAGATAATTAAGAGTTTTTTTTGGGGGGGGGAGGGACATACCACATGGTTGGTCAGAATATTGGTCTGTCGTCTACATACCTGAATGTTCTGTCGAGCCCCCCATTGGCACAGCGGTATATCTGCGGACTTACAACGCTAGAAATCGGGTTTCGATACCCGTTGTGGGCAGAGCACAGATAGCCTATTGTGTAGCTTTGTGCTTAACATCAAACAAACAAACAGTCTGCCGAAACATATAGTACGTTCCCCCCAAAATAAACCACCTCATTAAGTACGTTCCTCCCAAAATAAATCACTTCATTAAGTACGTTCCCCCCCGAAATAAACCACTTGATTATAAATCGTTGTTTATCAATTTATTATAGTAAGAAAGATAAAAGTTGATTATTCTTCAAAGCAAGAGTAGATTTATGTTTCTCATGCTGCCACCCCCCCCCCCCCCTTCCATACCGAGTTGAACCGGATGTTGTCTAGTGGTTAGTGTGATCGGACTGTGAATCTGAGGATATAAAAATATACTCTATAATTTGGAGCCGTGGGTATGGTATAAAAGTTTCGGTCACAACCAATTATTCGGTCAGATAAGAATAACCAAAAAGTGTATGGTGGGTGATGTTGACTAGCTGCTTTTTCTCTAGTGTGTAAGTTCGAAATTAAGTATGGTTGTGATGAGAGAGAAGGTCACCAGGTTCAAGATGAACTCTAATTTAGGTTTATTCAAAAATATAGTTGTTTTTAGTTGATATACGTCTTAAGTTTAAGATGTCTTGAAGATTTAAGTTCATAAAGGGCATAGAAGTGACATAGGTGACATATTAACGTGCAAAGTGAATTGGAGTAAGTTTTTGGTTGTTTTAATTTATTGAAAATTTTTTCAGCAAAAAACATCTGTGCTTAAAGCAATATCTATCTGAAAGTTATAGATTTCAGTTATAAACGCTATCAGATAATAAGCTATAATAAAGTGATACCTAATCTAGATACACGCAAAAATTACTTTCATTTCGGAAGTTATGTTTAAAAGCATTGAAGGATATAGACAACAGTGTTTCGATATATTTAGTTACGTTGTGGGGATTTCGTTGTTTTAGGAGGTTGGCATGACCTGATGGTTAGGGCGCTTGACTCGCAATCTGAGAAGTGCGGGTTCAAATCTCCGTTACCGAACATGCTCGCCTTTTCAGCCGTGGGGGCATTATAATGTGACGGGCACTCACACTATTCGTTGGTAAAGAGTAGCCCAAATTGTTAGTGGTGGGCGGAGTTAACTAGCTGCCTTTCCATTAATCTATCACTTCAAAATTAGGGACACCTAGCACACATAACCTTCGAGTAGCTTTGTGTGAAATTGAGAGCTAGCACACATAACCCTGAGTAGCTTTGTGTGAAATTGAGAGCTAGCACACATAATCCTCGAGTAGCTTTACGTGAAATTGAGAGCTAGCACACATAACCCTCGAGTAGCTTTGTGTGAAATTCAAGAAAGAAAGAACGATAAAGCGTCAGTAGCTAATTGGTTTTGAAACTGGACACGGGTTATTTTTTCTCTCAGATGTCAGTTGCCAATTCTTCAAAGGCAAAGATTACTAGCATTTCTCTTAAGTATAAAACGTTGGATAACCTAATTAGTAACAGTTGCAATAGAGGCTCCGACATCTTGCCATTATTTCCATCGTCGAATCAGCAATAATTCTCCAATAAGACGGCGTTCGATTCCTCGCGGTGGACACAGCAGATAGCCCAATGTGGCTTTTCTTAGAGTTATATCGTAGCGATTCAATTTACATAGAAAAGCACCAGAAGTCTTTAACAGTTCCTGACGACAAAAAAAAAGAGTATTAAATATTCAATTAAGAGTATTTGTATTTTGTATTTATGACAACACTATTAAGATTATCTGCCGCCATCCCTAATTTTGAACTACTGACCGGAGGGAATGCAACCAGTTAGTAACACCTTACAACCCATCATCCTCTCTAAGGGATTGATTGTTACCTTCATAACTCACCCACAGCTTAAAGTGCAAGAAATATTTTGTGATATCGCACTGGTTCGAACCAGGTTCGCTAGCTCCGAAATCCAGAGCCCTACCACACTTTTCGCTCACGCAAGAAAGCTTACGTTAATATTCAATATTAGAAAAAATAAGCGAAACTAAAAGTAATTAAAAGAAAAACTTATGGAAAAGTGAGAAGATGTAAGGAAGTTATGGTCCAACATTATGAGAAAACGGTGCTGCAAACACTCGAAGCTGTGTGTCATTATAAATATATTAGAACATTCAGTCTCTAACAAACGATTTTTGTATATTAGAGAACGGTGCTGCAAACACTCGAAGCTGTGTGTCATTATAAATATATTAGAACATTCAGTCTCTAACGAAACGATTTTTCTATATTAGAGAACGGTGATGCAAACACTCGAAGCTGTTGTCATTATAAATATATTAGAACATTCAGTCTCTAACGAAACGATTTTTGTATATTAGAGAAGTGCGTTTTCCTGTAAGTGTGTTTTTCTGAAAGTGTGTTTTTCTGTAGATAAAAATTATCTGAAATGCTGTGGTGTTCTTTTCTAGGTTTGGCCGCGGCTGACCTGGTGACAGTAACTATGATGATGTTCAGCAGTTTGTATCGTGGTCTGGGAATTAAGAGCTACGGTTGGCTGGTGTTTGATATCTACGTTCACCTACCGATCGCCATCATTAGCAGCTCAACTGGCACTCTTCTTATCGTCGCCATAACCTTCGAACGTTGCTTCTATGTCAAATGGCCCACAGTAGCGAAACGTTTCTCTAGAAAATCGACGGCAAAGCGAGTGGTGACAGTAATTGTTCTTTCGTCGCTTTTGTTTCACATTCCGTTTTGTTTCAGCATGAAGGTCGACAAAAATTCAGTTGAAATACAAGCTACGAAGTTCAATAAAAGTTCCGGATTTCTTGTATATAACTGGATTAGGCTTAGCCTGTTTGGGTTTATACCAGCATTTCTTATCGCTGTGATCAATTCTATTTTAATTTACGCTGTGCGACAGATGAAAAAACTACGTCATAAGCTGATCGCTCAGCGCCAACTGGCCGAAGACAGGAGACAAGGTGAACAAATACGACTGACCATAACACTGATTGCCATCACGTGTATGTTTTATATTGGTGAACTGCCCTCAAACATCTTTAGCCGAAAAACAGCCACGCATATTTTATTCGGCGGCAACAAATGTATGATGCATTCTCAGTTTTACAAGATTATGTCGTTAATCATAAACATTCTGGTGACATTACAGTATACATTAAACTTTGTGTTTTATTGTGCACTCAATAAAAAGTTTATGAACGTGCTAAGAAAAGTCTGTCCCGGAACCAGAAGAAAGAAACGAGCTTCATACAGACAGTCTTATTACTCAAGTGGAATTCCAACTATTGCACAAGCAAGACAGTAAATACCCGAACTTCATGTTCTCTTATTACTCAAGTGGAATTCCAACCATTGCACAAGCAAGACAGTAAATACCCGAACTTCATGTTCTCTTATTACTCAAGTGGAATTCCAACCATTGCACAAGCAAGACAGTAAATACCCGAACTTCATGTTCTCTTATTACTCAAGTGGAATTCCAACCATTGCACAAGCAAGACAGTAAATACCCGAACTTCATGTTCTCTTATTACTCAAGTGGAATTCCAACCATTGCACAAGCAGGCCAATAAATGCCCAAACTTCATGTTCTCTTGTTACTCAAGTGGAATTCCAAGCATTGCACAAGCAAGACAGTAAATACCCGAACTTCATGTCCTCGTATTACTCAAGTGGAATTCCAAGCATTGCACAAGCAAGACAGTAAATACCCAAACTTCATGTCCTCTTATTACTCAAGTGGAATTCCAAGCATTGCACAAGCAAGACAGTAAATACCCGAACTTCACGTTCTCTCCTTTTTTTTTTTTATTTACATTTTTCACTGTTGAAGACGTGGTGGTAGAATGATCATATTGTGGTTAAGAGCTGGTTCTCTTAGCTTAATGGCAAGATATTTTATACTTAAGGAGGAAATCTTCCCAGGAATGGGAAATAACGTGGAAAACATGGAAGACATCACATTTGTTTAGGAAGTGGTTGGTAATACTACTAGTGTTGTAGGTTTTAATCGACTGAAAAAACGTTAATGGTTAATCGAATATATCCCTGGCTGCTTTTCGGGCACGTGGACTCATATACCACTAGCGAGGTATTAATCGGAATAAAAGAACGCTGATGAGAAGGTGAATCTGCTACCACTATATCACTATTGTGAAAATGTAATGAAAATAACAGGAAATAAACTTCAGATGGACTTAAAAACCAGACAGTAAAGGCACTCCAAGTAAGGTCATATTATTCCGCTGAAACAACACTTACCATTTAACTGGTTGCTTATAATGTGTATATTCAACTTACTGTAAACATAAAATAACAACAGTGTATGCTTTAAAAACTTGTTTTTAATCATTGTTTGGCACAATATAGGAAATGTCTGTTTAAACCATTGAAAATTGGCTCTCTGTAATTAGTTAGTTTGTTTGTTTATTGCTAAGCACAAAGCTACACAATTGGCTGTCTGTGCTGTCCCAACCACAGGAACTGAAACCCGGTTTCTAGTGTTATAAGCCTCCAGACATGGGGGACGGTTAATTAGAAAGAACAGACTTCCGATCTACTTTGTAAAAATGTTTATAGAATATTTTAATAAGGTACAAAAAAAAAATCATTCATGGGCACCTCCAGTGATGTACAGTCGTTGTAGATGTTTGGGTTGTTATGCCAGAGATGTTTATTACCAACACATGAAAACAACCAGCAAAAATCGTGTTAATGTGAGATCCGAGACAGCAGAAATCTCTTTCTGTATTTAAACCACTTACAGAATTCAATCTGCTTTAGATATCGGCGAAACTTATATTACAGCGTAAGTGCTTTAAATATAAAAGTAACATATAAATATGTACATAAAGCATAATGAAGATAATACAGAAACGACTGGTGTGAAACTATGACCGAGATATATTCAGTATTTTCTCAGAGGAAGTGTATGTGTCAAAAACAATTTATTGTTAATCTGTATTACAACAAAAACACATATGGGTTAAAATGGATTTGATTACACTACATTATTAATTACGTTAGGCCGTAATGCAAAAAATAATATAATACAGGAATTGAAGTTAATAAATTGTAGTTACAATTGAATACAACTGTTCATAAATTTTCATTTCTGAAAGATAAATATATAAATACTGACATATATTTTATAAACTGTGTTTACTCAACTACGAAACTATTACAAACTAAGAGCCCACAACCAGCAAATTAATACTCATAATCAATTGCGATAGATGGCGCCACCAACAAAATATATGTAGCAAGCGAACGCATGTAATAATACATTGCAAATAAACGGTGAAATAATACAATGAAGTAAAGAATAATTGTACAAACGGACTTCATAAGAATAAATTATTTTTCTTCGTAAATATTTAGAAATACGCATTCTTCTGAAATTTTGGTTTTCTCCGTAAAGATAATTTTTCTTTGTAAACCTGACTTTTTTTTTTAAGATGAAAACAATCCATTTTAATTGAAGATTTAAGAATTGTGCTTATATTTGACACAGACAGACAGAAAAGATAACGATATAAATTTCAAAAGGCTGTCTCATTTTTAGAAGACATATGCTTTAAAATGTATCTTTAGTTGAGGAAATGCATTAAAAGCAGTTTACAAAACGATACGACATGGTTGCTGATCGAGCTATAAAAGTAATTTCAGTATTACTATATGTATACCAGAAGAATCGTATCAAACTAATGTTAGTTGTATTTTTTTTCAGGGGTTGCTAATTAATAAGAAATATGGCGACATTGTTAGTGTTTGAATACAGCGGAATTAGGCAATATCACAAACTTTTCTAATTATACTTAATTAAAAAAAAAGAATGTAAAATAAATAGAAGAAAATCTTTAAAAAAAACAAAGGTGGTTTTTAGAAATCTAACTGTAACTTTATTCAACGTAAATAGTTACCCTTCATTTTATGTGTAACTACTGAGTAAATTTCTAATTTTTCTCCACACTATTATCGGGTTCAATATTTCCATTGTATTATTTGGTGTTTTAAAATGAGGCACTTGCCTTGTGGAACAACAGCAACATCTAACTCTGAATGAAATACGGTTTAATATTTTCATTGTATTATTTGGTGTTTTAAAATGAAGCACTTGCCTTGTGAAACAACAGCAACATCTAACTCTGAATTAAATACGGTTTAATATTTCCATTGTATTATTTGGTGTTTTGAAATGAGGCACTTGCCTTGTGAAACAACAGCAACATCTAACTCTGAATGAAATATGGTTTGATATTTCCATTGTATTATTTGGTGTTTTCAAATGAAGCACTTGCCTTGCAGAAGAACAGCAACATCTAACTCTGAATGAAATACGGTTTAATATTTCCATTGTATTATTTGGTGTTTTAAAATGAAGCACTTGCCTTGTGGAACAACAGCAACATCTAACTCTGAATGAAATACGGTAAAATATTTCCATTGTATTATTTGGTATTTTAAAATAAGGCACTTGCCTTGCAGAAGAACAGCAACATCTAACTCTGAATGAAATACGATTTAATATTTCCATTGTATTATTTGGTGTTTTAAAATGAAGCACTTGCCTTGCGGAACAACAGCAACATCTAACTGTGAATGAAATACGGTTTGATATTTTCCGAAACGGCCACGTCATATTGACATCAACTTGTGAAGCCAGTTAAAAAAACAGGAAGTGTAAGAGCAGCATGTTTAACACCCTGAAAAGCTCTTCATGTCAGATCAGTGGTGATGGGGGTTTATTAGACTGGAAACAAAGTACACTCGTCACTGACATTGACTTTCCTTTTGATAAGCCTTCTCTACCACACAGGTAAGTGAACAGTTCAACAATATATGTCTTTCATCTTATGATTTAGTTGAACAATAATTTGATGCTGAAACAATGCCAATTGTTTTTTGGTCAAAACACAAAAATCTGAGTTTCCAGGAAGTAAGTATTATTGTTAAAAATGAATGAAATATTATATAAAATTATTTAACATTTTTTTTCAATTTACTCATCTTTTTACATGCAAATCCTCATGTACATAGGACACAACGCAGGACTGCGTTTTTTTATACTTTTAAACATATTTTTAATTTTTTCTTCTGCTCCTCAGCGACTATACATAACTATTTTCCAGCATTTTATCGATGCTTCTAATAAGGACAACTATTTAATTCAAAGATGCTTATACATGTGTGTGTGTGTGTGTGAAACTCTAATGTCATTTCAATTTCTTAGAACAAATTTAAAGATTAGCTGCTTACATTTTTGGTAAATAAGAACATCTCTGAAAACATTTCCAAAAGGAAATAAAGGAACAGATACTTGTATTGTTTTCGCGAATCAGTAGTTCATAGACTGAAATGATCAAATATGGCATTATTTATATTAATAACAACAACAACGAATATGAATATTCTTGTTGTAAAACTTATTAAACATGTTACATTTCAATGGTATCTCAGGTGGCCTGAAAATGGAGTGATTTATTCATTACAAATTTGAACAAATACCTAGTGTATACTGAAATCACGTAGAACCCTTGTTAAATTTCGTTACCAGTTTGATAATTAAGGTTTTAAAGCATCGGTCTCTGTAGTTTTTTTAGAGATGGTCACTAAAGTCTTGTTTATAGTCTATGCGTATAAGTCATTAACGTAGTAACTATTTCAAGAGACTTTCTAAAATCCCTATACGTAATTCAAGTAATGAACAAAACACTCTATTACATTTCAGTATTATATAACACATTCAATTACTATAATAGGTTAAAACATTAGAAGTCGCGCCTCATTAAAGAATTGATTTAAATATCAGAGGTCATGACTAATGGCAGCGACTAATTAGAACATTATAGAGCAAATCCATCACAGCAATTAACCTAGCTGTTATAAAACACGTTCCATCAGAACAGTAATTCAACCAAACTAGGGGCATGTTAATGGGGATTCACAATCCCCTCTGCTCCCATTATTCATGTTACTGAGCATTTATTATCTTCGACGTAAGTTATCGTTAGCTATATACATAGATGGCGCCACGTTCTTACACCATAGAAAATAGAAGTGTTCTAGGTTCATGGTGTTAATGAACACAAATTTAGATAGAAGTGTTCTTGGTTCATGGTGTTAATGTGTTAATAAACACATATTTAGATAGAAGTGTTCTTGGTTCATGGTATTAATGTGTTAATAAACACAGATTTAGTGATAATTACATACATTGCTTAAAGTTGTGTACATTTTAACATTTATCTTCATCTTTGCTCTCAGCTGACACAAAAACCCAGTTGTAGCACATTCAGACAGATCAGTGAGTTAACTTAATTCAGAATTATCTGTTTCAAAATTCTCAGTCGTCTACTGTTAAGTTTACGAAACTGTATGGCTTATAAAGAGTGATTCGTCAGTTTAGACTTTCTATACGATAGGGTCCAGATATCGCACAGTGGCTAGCTGTCGAGCCTTGGATTGGAAAGTCTCATGCTCGAGCCTGTGATATACCCTTCACACTTTGGGTGCGTTATAAAAGTAACAGTTATTTGTGGTAATCGGTTAAGAATAACCGTTTAGGCAGCAGGTGGTGTTAAATGGTTGCTCTTTCCTCTTTATATGGTCATCAGTTCAAAGGTTGGCCTAAATCTTGGGCCTTTAACCTGGCTACTTACTCAATATGTCACATAAAGTGTCGTTGTGGTTAAAAAATATCATATGTTAAACTATATAACAGTAATTAAATATATATATAATAATGATAACAATATGTTATAAACTGTTTCTACGAATAAAAAACTAATCGATTTTGATCAAGCATTAACCAATTTGAGGCGAAAAATATACATTTCATTCAATCTTGCAAAAAAGGAAAAATAAGAGGTCCAGAAGAACCCACTAACTGTTAATGCTAAAACGTCTTTTTATTTTGAAAGAAAAATGTGAAAAAAGGAAAAATAAGAGGTCCAGAAGAACCTACTAACTGTTAATGCTAAAACGTCTTTTTATTTTGAAAGAAAAAATGTGTGCATGTCTGGAAAACATTGGCTAACTACTTTTCTTTGTGTCAAAATTTGAAAAAAAAACAACCTTAATTACAAGCAACATTTAAGTAAGTTTTGGGTATATTTCATTGCAGGTAGACACCATGACGAACCAATATCTCATACAAATGTTAATTTTCATCGTCTGTATTTGTACAATATCGCTTCAGTGTGCAGGAAACTTAACAACAATATCTAGCGACCAACTGGAAAGCTCTCATCGAAAACAAAAACGTAAGTACGATATTCAAAAAAACGTGGTATTGCTAAAATTCTCTATTAAAATTTATTCCGAGTTTCACTAATCTTAGTAAACACATTGATTTTGATAAAACAAAACTATTGCGAATCATATAAATCCCCCCTGGTGGCTCAGTGATAAGTTTGAGGACTTATGAGACTAAAAATCTGGTTTCTATGCACACGGTGGGCAGGATACAGATAGCCTATTGTGTAGCTTTGCGATTAATAACAAAGAAAACAAATTTCAAATTAACAATCTACACACCACAAGCACACATCTGTTGTATAACTCATGTATTGAATTTGCCACCTCTTAGGTCTTAAAACAATCGCGTACCTGTATGAACAGCATTATAGAACTTTGTAATTAAGTGATGTTAATTAATGTTAGTAAAAAATAAAACTCGAATTTGCTCCCTAATTCCAATGCGTTGGTAATAGTGGAACACCTGATCTCATTGCTTTGTTGTATACACAGTCGTGGTTGTTTCTTTCATCGTAAAGCTACTAAGGTTATTTCTCGTCGTTCCTAATATTGAACTGCCGACGACAGCAGCCATCGCTAACCCTTGGGCTACTCCTTATCAACGAATAGTGTGATTGATCGCCACCTAGAACTGAAAGGACCAGCTTTGATGTATGTTATTCACTGGAACAACCTCTAACGGATTATGTACGATTTCATCTTTGCAAAAATATTAATAAATCACTCACTCTATTCAAAACTATTATATGGAAGTCTCACAACTAAAATTTACAAAGTCAGAAACAAAACAGAACAACTAAACGTAACCTTACTCATGAACTTCAATTATATTATATGTGTAAGTCTGGTATTACAATTATATAAGAACTAAGAGTCTTTTAGTATAAAACTGTTTGTATGTAATTAAGCACAAAGCTACACAATGGGCTATGTGTGTTCCGCACACCACGAGTATCGAAACCCGGTGTTCAGCTTGGAAGTCCGCATACGTGCCGCTGTGCCACTGGTGCCACTAATAACGACAAAATAATATGCTAGTCAGACGTTCGAGGATGCTAATCTACAACATGATATTTTTTCATGAAGGACCGAATGTGATTAAATGGTCAATGCGCCGGGCTTTGTATGAGAAGGTTCAAGGCTCGCGCCATGATGCATCTAAATACTCTCGCCCATTTTACTTGTTGGGTATTATAAGAGTGATAGTCAGTTCTGTTATTTGGTTAAAACCTTTGTGACGATGGGTGCTACTGACTGCCTTATATCCCTCTGGGCAGTGGTTCAAAATTAGAGAAAGATGTATACTTGAACCCTGACTAAGCTGTTTAACATAAGTGTCATTTAGGTTGAAAGTATTAATGCCTTTTAGAAGATTAGAAAACGTACATATACCATTTAGCCAGATGTGATATTAATTCACGTGTTACATGGAATCACAAATATTACTGTGAAAGTGTATAGTATTTTCAGTTTGATCTCAGTCGCGTTTTATTGTAATACAGTGAAGAAACAAGATTGCTGAGCTAAACCGTCCAATTAAACTTATTAGTTTTTGATGAGGAAATATTAATAGTATATCTAAACTTTTCGTTTTCCACATCTGACATCTTGACCTGGCAAACCCAAGTAACTTTTCGAAGTTTGTAAAGAGGTAAGATGGATATCATTGCCAAGTTTATGATTTTCTTGTGTGTTTAACCAACAATCCCGTGTTTAACTAGCAGACTTTATGTTTAATCAACAATCCTGTGTTTAACCATCAGACCTTGTGTTTAATTAACAATCCTGTGTTTAACCAGAAGATCACGTGTTTAATCAATAATCTTGTGTTTAATCAACAATCCTGTGTTTAACCAGCAGATATTGTGCTTAATAATAAACAGCCCTGTGTTTAACCAGTCAACCTTGTGTTTAACCAGCTGACCTTGTGTTTAATCAACAATTCTGTGTTTAACCAGCCGACCTTGTGTTTAATCAACAATCCCGTGTTTAACCAGCGGACATTGTGTTCAACCGACAATCCTGTGTTTAACTAGTCGACCTTGTTTAACCAGCAACCCTGTGTTTAACCAGCTGACCTTGTATTTAATCAACAATCCTGTGTTTAACCAGCGGACATTGTATTTAATCAACAATCCTGTGTTTAACCAGCGGACATTGTGTTCAACCAACAACCCTGTGTTTAACCAGCCGACCTTGTTTAACCAACATCCCTGTGTTTAACCAGTCGACCTTGTTTAACCAACAACCCTGTGTTTATCCAGCCGACCTTGTGTTTAACCAAGAATCTTGTGAGGAAGATATTTAACACTTGCATTAATACATGTAAAACAAATACTGAAAGAAACCTATAGTAAGTCAAACCTTTTCGGTCTAGTCTGAAGGGATCACATATTTAGTAGAGTAAAAAGACTCCAATGTCCTGCAGACAACGGTTGTTTTGGTCTATCATTTTTATTCATTCTTTCTTATAATTTTTTGGAAGTTTTATGTCATCACATATATTTGTTTGATTTAGGTTTAAGCTTGCTTACCATTGTCCAATTCACAAATGATCCTTGCGAAGGGAAGAATGGTCTAACGGGGACATGTTACAACTACAAGGAATGTTACCAGAAAAAAGGGACCGTATCAGGACCTTGCGCCTTTGGTTTTGGTGTTTGCTGTACGTGTAAGTAGATAATTAATTTCGTCAGCCACGCGATTTAGCAACCAATCAAAATAATATATTGGAGCATATGAGAATTTTGTCATGTTAGATATACTCAACTGTTCATTTTAGTTTTAACACGAGAGTACAATTTAGTTTATATTGAGTGAGTGTTAAAAGTTAATTGGTATAAAAATGATGGTAGTGATGGGTTTCGTTACGTAGCTCTGTACTAATCGCATGGTGTTTATATAGTTTGATTGTTGGACGAGGCTTTTTAATTCTTTTGACGTCATTTTACGTTATGTTTAATATTGTTGTTACTGGAGGGCTAGATATTTCTAGATTTTTCTGTCGCGTGTTATAAATACGTGCAGATACAGAGAGGAAGTTAAGTAAGAAGTTAAGTTAGTGAAAATAAATGTGAAGTTAGACTGCGAGATTATTAGGTTAATCTAACGAACTATTTCTAAAGTGTGTGTTTCACAGCTTGTATTGTAGCAACAGAAATAGAGAAGAAATAATTCGTTTTGTTAGTTGGGTTATAAAGTAACTGAACCAGTCTGTGTGGACTTTTGACGAAAAAGAGAATCATTTAAAGCTCTAGATTCAACTATGGTAAACAATAGTGTAACGAATTTTGTTCATGCATAGTTTGACTTGTTTTGAACATATCATTTTAAAACAAGTTGCTTGCATGCTGTCCGTTCACTATTCAAACTTAGAGCCAATAAGTCGCAGACACCTACTCTTAAGAATCCCGGGCCCATTCATACATACAAAACTTGACATGTCTTGTAAGAAAGACAAACCCATATCCCGACCAGAAACTTTTCATCGACACACAAAGATCAACATTAACCATATCCCTATGATCCCAGCTTCTCAACGATTAATCAAACCATCTTTGACAATTTGTGTATTTTACAGAATGACCCTGTAACCAATGATACTTTCCCTAACCGACCAAATTTTGCCTACATTAATAGTCCACACCTCTAACCGACCTACTGTTGCCTACACTAATAGTCCACACCTCCAACCAACCTACTGTTGCCTACACTAATAGCCCACACCTCCAACCGACAAATTTTTGCCTACATTAATAATCCACACCTCCAACCGACCAACTTTTGCCTACATTAATAATCCACACCTCCAACCGACCTACTGTTGCCTACACTAATAGCCCACACCTCCAACCGACCTACTGTTGCCTACACTAATAGCCCACTCCTCTGTGGTATCCTTGTACATCCCAACTTACCTACTGATGACAAAGACAACACTAATTCTGAAAGTTCCTCGTGCGGCCGTTCTCGTTGTGTAACTTGAGTACTCCGATTGTTGGGCCTAAGAGTCAATATTATATTAATCGTTCTTTCACTTGTATATCAGAGTCGGTTACATACTGCATATTCTACGAGTTGTGTCTAATTCTAAGGACTGGTGACAGTGGACGCATGGTGAGTGAACGATTCAGGGAACAATGTCATCATTGAAGAACCTGTTTCTCAACATAATAATAGTAAAAACAACTACATTTGACATTTTTCTGTTGTGGTACTATAATCTGCTTCAAAGGACAAACAAGTGAGGGAACGTGAAGAACAATGTATCATTTTCAATATAGACACTTAATCCCCTAGTGGCCTAAATGAAAGTTTTTCTTTCTTTTTATCTAGATTGTTTAGTCGACTATTTATTATTATTGCTATTGTTATCATATTTTTATTAATTGTTTTCCAAGAATATTATTAGAGACGCTTCCTGTATACTTGTTCACATGCATATATAGAACACTCTACAACTCTTTTGTGTTTTTTGTGATTAAAGCTTTTGAAGAAAGGTTTAGGCCCGAAACATCAACAACATTACCATCCTTTCATGTGTCATATATTTAGCTCTTTTCATCTTTTAAATATCTTAAATAATTTTTTATCAGTCTAAACTATTTTTCTGCGTTCTAACCCAGTTTTTCAGCAATATAAACAGAAGACATTTTTCTAACGGCTGAGTTTCTTGTTTGAAATTGCTATATGCTCTAAACTTTCTCGTACAATATAAACAGAATGCTAATTCTAACGGCAAAGTTTCTTTTTGAAATTGATGTAAGGTTGCTTGTTATTAAACAGGTGTTTTTTTCTTAAAATTTTTAACTGATATAATATCTTACACTTTTATATCTATTTATATTAGCAAACAATTCTAAGGGTGGGAAAAGTAAGTTGAAAAGGTTAGCGATATACATGTATAAGAATAGTCAAATTTGTAATTTCTGCGCATGAGCTGTAATACAGAGCCCTCTATTTATGAAATATTACCATACAAAAAGTGTCTTAGAGCAGTAATTAAAATTTGACATCATGATAAATAAATATGAAACCTCGGGGTATTTACTGCTTATCATGTAAAATATTTTCAGTATCATTTCCAAAGTGGGAAACATGGCGACTTTAGAAATCAGGTGTAAAACAAAATATTGAAGTTTCCAAGGATATTTAAAGTACTTTTAGTCCTTTCGCAGTGAATTTCAATGTTTCACAAACAAGTCGTAAAATAGTGGGTAATTCTAGTTTTCTTATTGTAGATATTTCAATGAGATACAGAAAGAGGCGGTAAGCCTACTGGCTTAAAACTTTAAAATCCGGGGCTTGAATTCCCGCGGTGAACACAGCAGCTAGCCCAATGTGGCTTTGATATAAAACAAAGAAAAATTTGTTGTTTGAAGTTAAGCACAAAGCTACACAATGGGCTGGTTATCTGTGCTCTGCCCACCACGGGTATCGAAACATATCACTGTTCCACTGAGGAGGGGGGAATAGAGATGAAAAAAATATGTAACAGATTAGTAAATAATGGGGTTATTAGTTGGAAATGTTGAATACTTCAATATGCTGTTTAACACCTAATTTCCATTGATATCTTATTTAACTCCTTAGCACACAAAATGAGTTGTCCTGTGTTTCTTTCTGCATTTAACAGTTAAGAGGTGAGAGCATGTGATTTATACATACCTAAAAAAACACACACACATTTGTTATCCTGTAATCTCATTAGAAACTATGTTGAATTAAAACAGAGGTATAATGTGAAACATGTAGGAAAAAGAAGTAACCTGGTGTTTTTTGGTCCAGAAAGTTTCGTCCTTCGAATACCGTTCAGCTGATACAGTACATTTAACATATTTTGGTTTTCAGTCGCGGATATACACACTCTTGAGACGTATTTGTTAGTTATTTTCATATATATGTAGCTATATTATTCTGTTTTGTATTTATCGATATGGATTTATTTCCATTAATCCTTAACAGTTTCACGAACGTGTGGTAAAACCTCGAGAGAGAATGTAACATATTTCGTTAATCCGGAATTCTCCACCATTACTTCACTTACTTCATGTAAGATAACCATAAGAAAGGTACCGATTTCCGTTTGCCAGTATAGACTGGATTTTCAACTTTTTGAACTATCCCAACCTCTGGCAGGCGACTGTGGGGATTTGACTGATAACTTCATTTTCACCTTGGATGGACGAAGAATGTCTGATTTTGGGCTGCCCTCTTGTGGACTTTGTGGGAGTTTGACTGGACAACATGGTACATTTTTAACTTAAGTTTTATTTTTCATAAGAATTAGAAGATTTAACCTTTCACTCGATTAATATAACGTACTATTGTTATTTCGTTTCGAATAAATTAGCTTCAAACCCAGATTTCACTTAGAAGAGTGAAAAATTAAGAATGACTACTAATGATAAATTTCTATATTGAGTTTTTAACGTCGTCATGATAAAAATACTGGACTTGTAAAGAATTTGATAAGGGTTTATCTTGATATTTCATGTTCAAAAAGTAGTTTGAGAAGTGCATTGCAACGTTATCTAGAGTTTTGTTGTAAGTGTGCCCTCTGGCGTTAAAAGTTAGTAAATTTAAATTTGATAGATAACCCCTTTCTCAAAGTTTTGTAATTAAAATATACCACATATTTTTTTATTTTGATAAAGGCAATATCACCAGTTTGATAATTATGGATGGATCACATAGTTAATCCAGTTTCAGAACATATTCGATTTTGTTTATTCAAACTAAGGTCAAGAGATAAAACTTGTAAATTACAGTACGAAAATAAAAATTGCCCATTTTAGTTTTTTTTTATGTGTAGTGTATTTAGATGTCGGAACCGGAAATGGTCAGCTGGAACTGGAAATCAAACAAGGGATAAATACTACGTCTACCAGTATTCAGCGCAGGTGGATGATCCGAGTTTCTCAACTTCCTTGTTCTGCTTCCTATTTAGGTAGATTTACAATTGTTTATTAAGCAATTACTAACATATATGAATGATTAAGAAAGTATTTCTCTTTCCTGTTCCACAATGATTTTTGTAAGGTACTTGACTTTCTGAGCCGGTTCTCATGTGTAGATTGAAATAATTGGTTTCCTTGTGATTTTTGCTTTAAGTTTTACAGTGGACTATCTTACTGTACGGCTTATAAGATTTGTTTAAAAGTCTACTTACCTAATTAGTTACTACAGAGGTTGAATCATATTTTATAACAGCAATTAGTATAACTTATACACAGACATTTCGCATCAGATGCCGCCATAGAAATAGAGAAGAAATATTCATACAGCAAGATTGTTCACCGATGTGAAGCCAAAGGACGCTATGCTTTTAAGAAGGAAGCCTTCAGTGTTTTTAATGGAAGACGATAAATTTTCATAGCAAAGCTTTTAGGAAAGTAAGTGGCTTCGATGTCATGTCCAATCCAGATTAAAAGTTATGATTACGAAACGGAATCTTCTGACCCAAAAGGCAATATGATGAGATTTGTCATATATTCTGATACTAAGAATAAGATAATAAACAATGTTTTGAATATGAGGAAGGCTCATAAACCAAATTTTCTCAAGTTTCATTGACATCTTGAAATAAGCAGTTCTTTCTACGAGAAAAATGACCGAAGAAACTGAAATCATTAGTAATTCCATTCGATCATACATCTGTTATGTCTTCTGATGCAGCTTGAATGGACTTCTGTATTAAGTAATTTACTTGGACCATCACCATGATTTTTTGTTTTTCGTCTTGTTTTTAATGCTCAGGCTTTTGGGTTAATTACCTGAACCTTGTACAAGTGCAAGAGATTTTTACTAACCAAGAAAGATGAATAACGTCACTTACACGGTCTTCGTTTAGTTTTTAATGCTCAGGTTTTTGGGTCAATTACCTGAACCTTGTATAAGTGCAAGAGATTGTACTAACCAAGAAAGATGAATGACGTCACTTACATGGTATTCGTTTAGTTTTTAATGCTCAGGCTTTCGGGTCAATTACCTGAACCTTGTAGAAGTGCAAGATTTGTACTAGCCAAGAAAGATGAATGACGTCACTTTCATGGTCTTCGTTTAGTTTTTAATGCTCAGGCTTTTGGGTTAATTACCTGAACCTTGTACAAGTGCAAGAGATTTTTACCTGAACCTTGTATAAGTGCAAGAGATTGTACTAACCAAGAAATATGAATGACATCACTTACATGGTCTTCGTTTAGTTTTTAATGCTCAGGTTTTTGGGTCAATTACCTGAACCTTGTAGAAGTGCAAGATTTATACTAGCCAAGAAAGATGAATGACGTCACTTACATGGTCTTCTACCCAATTTCATACAATTGCGAGCGTGGTGGGTTATTGCCTCGAGAAAGTGACTGTACATTAGGCTGGAAATACATCACAAGAACTTCCTTGTACCATTAAACCACATCCAGCAGCCAGCACTGTCAAGACTATACACACAGAATATAGAGCCCCCACCCCCCTTTCATATTTCTCTACTTTTATTCTTCATTCACAGAAAGTTGAAACCTAAGTCATCATTTGCTTCTAGCCATTCACTATTTATGGTCTACACTCTTAGCACTTCTGGAACTGTACTTTTAAGATAAGCTACTTTTGGACTTGTTGGATGCTATAAGAAAGGCCTTTAATAGTACGGTTGAAGATAGTCGGATTCTGACTGTTTTTGAAGAATTCAATCAATTGGGACACACTTTGATGCATGTTGCAACTTCTATGCCTGTACATCCATTTTTACTGTTGGTCACAGTAGCTTGTGTATTCTATTTTGATTTCTTCTGATAGGGACTTTAATGACAGCTAGCCAGAAAAACGTTTTTGTTAGGCAGGTACCTACTATCATACACCTTTAAAAGTCAGAAATATTCTTGCTCATAATCGTTCTTCCACTAATCATGATGTGATTACATCTATGAATTTGTCACATATGATGATTAGTCTGCTTAGTATGGAAACAGAGAGCGCTACAAATTTGCACATGCGAGAGTGCTACAACAGTGTTCCTGCAGTGTATAACAAGCTTCATTAATATTATTAAGTACTAATATATCTTTATTTATTAGGTTTTTGACTACAATATGATTTGTTAAGGGTTTATTGTTTCGTACACAAATATATAAAATATGGACAATTTCAGACTTAAGTTACAGTTGCAAAAGTGATCTTTAGCATAAAGTGCCAAAGAAGAAAAATACTAAGAACAAGAGGATGGTTTGATTTTTGAATTTCGTGGAAAGCTACACTAGGGCTATCTGCGCTAACCGCCCTTAATTTAGCAGTAAATGACCAGAGGGAAGGCAGCTAGTCATCACCACCCACCGCCAACTCTTGGGCTACTCTTTTACCAATGAATAGTGGGATTGACCCTCAAATTATAACGCCCCACGGCTGAAAGGGCGAGCATGTTTGGGGTGATGGGGATTCAAACCCGCGACTCTCAGATTGAGAATCAAGCGCCCTGACCACCTGGCCATGCTGGGCCGGAACAAGAGGAGGTATGAGAAGTCACGTTCATCTTAAGATACCACTCGCTGTAGAAAAACGGTTAGTAACTATGAATGAATGTTATGAAAGAACTTATTGACACAAAAGTAAACGGTTAGTAACTATGAATGAATGTTATGAAAGAACTTACTGACACAAGAGTTCATCTCAATACTTCTAGAAACTTCTATAATTTTACTGGCAAATAACTTTATCCTCGAAACTTTAGTCCTCGTCAGGGTTTGAGCAACAAATATGCCTTTTTATCTAATATTCTACCTATTTTCCTTCTCAGCAAGTCGGAGAGTTTAAATGATGTTGAAATGTGGAACTTTAAACGTGATCAGATCCGTATTAAAGTTTTGAATAGAAACTTTAGTCACAACATTCCGCACTTTTAAACAAGTACCTGAAGTGTGGACAAGTACACATGAGTGTCGTGTTCAGACTTGTTTTAAATATAAACATAAGTATCTAGAACAAGTAGTATATTCTAGAGTTTTTCAAACAGTCGTGTATAAATTGTTGAGTGTCTATATAAATATGGAAGTTCGTACAATTCACCAAATTGTTTGACCTAACTTTCTTCTACACATGCTAATTGGTGCCGTTATTCTTAGAAACTTTATATATGTTCATGAGACACTGTGGTTTTTGTATTAGCAAGTTCCGGCTGTCTACAGTACTTCCTGGGTCCGTCAGGTCACGTTTCGAGTTTCAACTACGGTGTTCACGGCCAAAGAAATAACGCCTATTATTTCAACAATTTGCAATACACAGCGTGCGTGCGAGGAGAGGCAGGGTACTGTTCCATCCGCTGGGAGGCGCTTGGAGCGGATTTCGACGTTGGTCAACTTCCAAACGCAAACACTTCAGGAGTGGGAGACATGAACTGTAAATCTGACTACGTGATCCTTCCAAGCGGATCTGACGTTACTGGAACGTTAGGGCCGTCTGATCGATTTTGTGGATCAGTATTGAATCCGGTTCAGGGTAAAACGAGAAACAACCCTATTATATGTACGTAAGCATATATTTATTAAGAAATTACACCATTCTTTAATGTACATAGCTAGTAACTGTTCTGATATCTCATAAAGTGTAAAGCCAGGGCTGACGAGAGGGTGGTAGCTGGCCCGGGGTCTGTTGAGAGGCCCGTCAGTGGGATATTCTAAAGCTCACTAGAAAGGCACACTACTTAATGAACTACAATGGCTACTGCTTTTTCATGGATTCATGAAGAAATTTGTCATCCAAATTTATTTTATGAAAACTCAGCAAAAGTTAATAAACAGAATAAAGGGGGGGCGGCGATGATATTACTGACCCCGGGGCCTGGGCTGGATCTCAACGCCCTTGTGTAAGATCATACTACTTCAATTTTCATGAGCGATTTTTTTAAGGGATAGGGTTGTTATGAATCAAATTACACGCCATCTCAGCCACTCAGTGTTCAGAATTATGGTGGTTTCATAATATCTAAAAAATACAATATAAAAGCGATTATCAGTGTATCTCACGAGGACTTGGAATTCTAAAAATTTCATTAAACCCTTCCAACCCACCAAAATATCAAGAAATAACTGACATCGCCAATTTTGTCATATCTCTAAACAGCTTTGAATTTAACAACGAACGTTTTGTAAAAGAGTAATATTAATAAAGATTAGCATTCACCAAATCAATCTAGTTCACATGATAACATTTGTTCTTTCTGTAATTTGGTATTATAATTGGCATCTCAACCACTACTGTGCCTCTCTGTCCTTCCCAGCCGGCCTGATGAAACTTGATATTGTGCGAAAGACCTCCTCGACACTGGATATGACAGATATGGCGCAGTTCACCTTCAAATTAACGGTATTCCAATGGGTGTTAAGATGGCTCCTAACTATGCCAACATATATATTACGCTGTGAAGCCTCACACCTGGGGATTTTACATAGGTGATATATTTTTCATTTCGACCTCCGGTTTTGAATCACCCAAACATTTATTTTTCTTATGCGAACACCTTTCACAAAACAATCAAGCTTACCATTGATAACCGAGTCCTACCCAATTTAACTTTGTTGACGTCACTGTCTCTTTAAAGGACAGTCTTTTACTCACTGATTTGTGCAGAAACCCCAAAGACAGTTCACAATATCTTCACTGTCAAAGCTGCCACCCTACCCCACCCCACATTAAACAGAATATTACTTACAGTTAAGCCTCCGAATCAAGAAAATCTATACTGGTGAAAAAACAACAACAGAAAACGCGCCAAGAATCTAAAACAAAACACGCTACAAAGAGGCTGTAAAGACACACTCACAACACTAAACGAAAAAGCATACTTAAACAGTGTAATACTCAAGAATCAAACATAATTCCTCTTGTTATTAATTATCATCTTAAACTCAGAAGTTTCGCATATTCTGAAAAAAAAAATCCATCTATGACAACTCAATGATTACCCGAGATAAATTTTTCCTGAAGTTCCTGTTGTCTCCTTCCAGAAGAACAGAATTCTTAAAGATATCCTGGTTCATAAAATGACTGCCATCCATGAAATAAAGTTAATTGTCTAACCTGCAGGTTCTTAAAAAACTACCGACTCTTCTGCCGACAATTGTAACCGCAAACACTGAAACAATACTAAAGAAATTACTTACACAGCATTCACGACACCATTTACCTCAAAAGTACAATCACCAGTATGTAAAACAGACCCCAAACGACTCTTTGAGAACGTTTTGATAACCCTAAATCTTCTATTACCATCAAATAAGACCTTCCTGTTGCCCAACACTTCATTAATGACCTGTTTCTCATAGGCATCGAAACTGCTTTCAAAGCTAAAGATGTGAGAAAAATGAATGAAGCATATTAGATTACTACTTTAAATACCGTTGTGGGATAAACATAGATTCTGGATCTAGTGATCTTTGACCGTAATCTCTTCCCTGTCTGACAAGTAATTTTTTTCTTATGTATGGTGCATACTTTTATTCCTGACACTTTTAACAATTATTGTTTATTCCATATTAGTTTTAATGTTTTTTATTCTTTCTACATTTTCCTGCTAATCGATGTTCATATCATATTTTTATTTTACTTTGTCAGTACCCAATATATCTTTTTATTTAATTTATTTTTTTTAACAAATTCTTTTTAATCTCTTCATATCTAACATTATAATTTCCAGATTTATTTTGTCGTGTTACATAACGGAAATCAATTACAAATACAAAATTTCTTTGAAAGCTAATCAAAGTACTTCCTGGTTGTTATGGTAGTCTACCTTGCGTAACCTTGACGTCACTTCATTTTTTTTCTCTCACATTACATTGTGAGCCTGGCATGGCCTGATTGTTAGGGCACTCGACTCGTAATCTGCTTGTCGCCGGTTCGAATCCCTTCACCGAACATGCTCGCCATTTTAGCTATGGGGCATTACAATGTGACAGGCATCACTCCCACTATTCGTTAATAAAGAGTAACCAAAGAATTGGCAGTGGGTGTTGTTGACTACCTGCCTTCCCTGTGGCTTATCACTTGAAAATTAGGGACGGCTCGAGTTCAACAAATAAACTTTACTTAATGATTCTGAGTTTGTCCCCTGATGAAGAAAGGTCTACCTTTCGAATTCTCTCGGGTTATAGGGTTTCTTATTGTTGTCTTTCACGAGGCTAGTTATTTTCTGGTATTTCAGGTTTTAGGGTTTCTTATTGTTGTCTTTTACGAAGCTAGTTATTTTCTAATATCTCTGGTTATAGAGTTTCTTATTGTTGTCTTTCACGAGGCTAGTTATTTTCTGGTATTTCAGGTTTTTAGGGTTTCTTATTGTTGTCTTTTACGACGCTAGTTATTTTGTAATATCTCGGGTTATAAAGTTTCTTATTGTTGTCTTTTACGACGCTAGTTATTTTCTAATATCTTGGGTTATAGAGTTTCTTATTGTTGTCTTTCACGAGGCTAGTTATTTTCTGCTATTTCAGGTTTTAGGGTTTCTTATTGTTGTCTTTTACGACGCTAATTATTTTCTAATATCTCGGGTTATAGGGTTTCTTATTGTTGTCTTTCACGAGGATAGTTATTTTCTACTATCTCGGGTTATAAGGTTTCTTATTGTTGTCTTTCACGAGGATAGTTATTTTCTACTATCTCGGGTTATAGGGTTTCTTATTGTTTTTCACAAGGATAGTTATTTTCTACTATCACGGGTTATAGGGTTTCTTATTGTTGTCTTTCATGAGGATAGTTATTTTCTACTATCTAGGGTTATAGGGTTTCTTATTGTTGTCTTTCACGAGGTCCGTAATTTTCTACTATCTCGGGTTATAGTGTTTGTTATTGTCTTTCAGAAGGCTAGTTATTTTCTACTATTCGGGTTATAGTATTTGTTATTGTTGTCTTTCACGAGGCTAGTTATTCTCTACTATCTCGGGTTATAGGGTTTCTTATTGTTGTCTTTCACAAGGCTAGTTATTTTCTACTATCTCGGGTTATAGAGTTTCTTATTGTTGTCTTTCACAAGGCTAGTTATTTTCTACTATCTCGGGTTATAGTGTTTGTTATTGTTGTCTTTTAGAAGGCTAGTTATTTTCTACTATCTCGGGTTATAGTGTTTGTTATTGTTGTCTTTTAGAAGGCTAGTTATTTTCTACTATCTTGAGTTATAGTGTTTGTTATTGTTGTCTTTCACAAGGCTAGTTATTTTCTACTACTCGACAGTATGATATATTTTAAACCACGACCACAGAAAGTGATTTCAGATATGTCTTTCACTTGACAAACAACACTCTTCCTACTTACATAGAGAAATAAATTATAGATCAACGTGAGCGTTGAAAGAATAGATTTAAATAAGTAAAACTTTTTGTTTTATATGTAAACCTTTATTTTTTCACTACTGAACTATCTTAAATGGCAATTAACCTCATTCTATTTAATTTGTAGCGAAACACAGACCATTTGAAGCACGAATTATAGCTGATGACAATGACGTGAGTCGTGGCTTCAACCTCAGCTTCACTCAGATTCCCTGCAACTGATGTTTTGGAAATAGACAATTGATCACATCAAAAGCTATTGTTCTTAGTAGCGAAACGAAAATACATAAAACGATATGGATAATGGTTACAGACTTTACATACAGGTTTATGTCAATGAAAAATTTTAATCATGTTTCTCTCTCAATTGTTTGAATTTTGTAAGTTGTTAAATATGAGATATCGACCAACAGCTGACAAAGAGTTTGCTTCACCAAGCAAACTTACAATACGGACTCTTGATTTAGATGTTGGGTAAACCATGTCCGACCAACAGCTGACAAAGAGTTTGCTTCACTAAGCAAACTTACAATACGGACTCTTGATTTAGATGTTGGGTAAACCATGTCCATGACTTTGGCTATATTTATGTAAAAATGTGTTTTTAAGGTAATAAAGAACAGAAGTGAATAACACTACAACTCTGTGTGGTTTTCATTCAATATGTTTCGTTGAAAATGGAAGATAACTGAGTAACTAAATGCATTTAATTGGATGTCACTCACACCTTTCTATTTATCGTTTGAAGAAGGAACTTTGTCGTTAAACATTGACCATGAGAATCATTTATATAATTAATATGGGAATGAGGACGACTAGATATGTTTTTAAAATCTCTAAAAAATTGATTTGAATATTAACTTAAAAAGAAAGTATAATAAGAATACTGACTTTCTTGATTTCCATTTTTTAACTAATTAAAAATTAAGATGTGCTAAAAATCATTATGAAATTAAATCTCAATTTTTGAAAAATTCATTTGTATTATAAGTCTTTAATTACGCAAGAGCACAGATCCTGGACGTTTGAAAAACAACACGTTTACTAGCTACTTTCAAGTTACTATATTTCATTATGAACAGCATATGTGTTCTAAATAAAGCAAGACGCTAAAAGAAATAAATAATCAAATCCGAAGAGGTTTTTTTGTAGTTAAGCGCAAAGCTTCACAATGGG